GCTAAACTCTTTCTGTTCACTTGAGCTAGGCATTGAAAATGCGTCCCTGTGTGGGTTGTATGTGCCCTCCTGTTGTAGTTGAGCCTCGTTTGCTGTTGGCATATCAATGGGAGGGAATTGACCCTCAGGCTGATTGGTTTGAGGACTGCCATGACTATTGTGGAGGAGGTATAGTGTGAAGGCCTATAACCCTGTGGAGCAGGATTCACTTTTGTGGGACTCTAGTTCCCTCCCAGTCTGGTTTTTGAGGGTGTTGTTTGTGGAACTAGTGCTCTGGTGAGTGCGAAGTTGGGCACTGCATGTGTTGATTCTCTGGACTCTTGGGAGGTGCAGGCCAAGGACAATCACCATCTGTGCCATGGTTGGGGTAACTGTTATGACCTATAAAGTGATTTGTAGGTGGTTGCCCCCTTGTGCTGGGCATGGTGCTGCCTGAGAGAGGCCAAGCTCTGCAACCTGGCTGCCACTAGTACTGAGTCTGAGGCCACTTCACAAGAGGTATAGGGCACACTGAGGGCAATTTCTGCATGTTTGGGGTTTGTGAATATTTGAGAGAGTTTAGGAAAGTCTGCTGCATGAGGCAACACAGGACATTGGTATGGTAAAGCCACTGTTAGGCTCTTGGTTCTGCCCACAAGTTGGGTGGGGTGGGGTCTTAGGGAATCACCAGGGCAGAGTAAATAGTGAATGGTGTTCTCCAGGAGACTCAGATATGGTGCCTACCTGCACCTGCAGGGAGAGAGCTCAGCAAAGGAACAATGGCCTCTGCCAGTGCTTCTAAGAGAAAGCTGCACCTCTACCCTTGATATAAAGACAGACAATTTAGTACATTCTCATGTACCCCTGGTGCCTTTCTAGCTGCCACCCTTGTGCTTGAGCTCAAAGTGAGTGAGTCTATCAGCAGGTGAGTTTGTGGAGACCCTTTAAGAGAAATGCTTAGGACTCCAGAAGCCCTCTGTCTCACTCAGCCACAACCTCTGCTGGTGTTCACAGCCAGAAGTTATGGGAACTCTTTCCAGCACTGAAACCCTGGGCTGGAGGATCTGATGTTGGGCTGGGCCCCCTTGCTCCTCAGAAGGGATTTCTGCAGCAGAATATCACTACTGATTTTGAACTGCCACATGCGGGTGTGGGACCAGCCCATTCTGCATCTTTTGCTCTCTAATAGTCTTGATGTGTTTTTTTCTATATATTTTTAGTTACAGGACTGCTGTTCAAGTAGACTTTAGGCAGTACTCAGTGATGGTTGTTCTGTAATTTAGTTGTAACTTTGATGTGGTCATGGGAGTAAGTGAATACAACTACTGCACCACCTTGATCACCTTTATCAATGTTTAGTTTTGCTTTTTATTTTAACTTTTAGTGTTTTGAAGTTAATTTTCTACCTTGTATTTTTTAATATTAGTTCTGTTCTTTTTTTCTAACTTTCTCAATTAAAATCTTAGCTCATATGTTTTTAACCTCTTACTTACAAATAAATGCATTTAAAGCTGTAAAATCCCCTATATGTGTCACTTTAGAATTATTTATGACGCCTTAAAAATTTTTGTGCTCCCCTATGTCAAAGCTATGCATGGTAATAAGATTGCAAAAACTAGTTTTTTAATAAGATTTATTTATTTACTTCTTCGAAAGGGGGCGGGGAGGGAAACATCCGTGTGAAGGAGATACAGTGATTGGTTGCCCTTCACACGCCCCCTACTGGGGATTTGGCTGGCATCTCAGGCATATGCTCTGACTGGAATTGAACCTGTGATCTTTTGCTTTGTAGGTTAGTGTTCAATCCAGTGAGCCACACTAACCAGGCACAAAAACTAATCTTTAGTGACCATTGTTTCAAAATCTCAGACTGTGTAAATTAAACAAAAGGAGAAAGCAGAAGTGTGTGAGCACAGAGAAGCACTTATTTCACAGTCCCAGTCTGCATCCCCCTTCAGACGCTGAGGTACTGCATGTACAGATCACCACAGAAAATTGAACAACACATCAATAAATCATTTCTGAAATTTATAGCCCACATCAATTTTCACATTCACCAATACATGTTCCTAACCCCAAATTAAAATCACACAGAAAGTGAATTTCACAGGGAGAATGGTTAGTACTAATTTTTATGACATGATATGAATGAATTTTTCCTTTACCCCTGCTAAAATTTCTTTGTATCTTTTGCTCCTGCCTGTGATAAAACATAGTTTTTTATTTAGATGTGGCCAGGGCTGTTGTAAGAAGGAATTTCCCTTCCACTTTGAGCTAGGCATTAAAAGTATGTCCCTTTGTGGAATGTATGTGCCCTCCTGTTGTAGTTGAGCCTTGTTTGCTGTTGGCATATCAATGAGAGGGAATTGACCCTCAGGCTGATTTGTTTGAGGACTGCCATGACTATTGTGGAGGAGTTATTGTGCAAAGGCCTATAACCCTGTGGAGCAGGATTCACTTTAGTGGGACTCTAGTTCCATTCCAGTCTGCTTTTTGAGTGTGTTGTTTGTGGAACTGGTGCTCTGGTGAGTGTGAAGTTGGGTACTGGATGTGTTGATTCTCGGGCCTCTTGGGAGGTGCAGACCAAGGACAATCACCGTCTGTGCCTTGCTTGGGTCACTGTTATGACCTATAAAGTGATTACTGAAGGTTTTTACTGAAGTTGTGCATCCTAAAAAAAAGTCACTAGATCTCTTTTTAATCTTTCTTTCTAGAATCAGAAATTTTTTATAAACTTGTAGTTTACTTTGGACTTGACCAGTTAAAATTCCTCTTACATGTGGATAAGAAAAGAATTTTTTGAAAGATCAGAAACAATGAAAATGGTTAATGATTAAAGAATTTAGTTAAATGACTATAAGGCATTTAACATAAATATTTATAAATGCGATGTGGTAATGACATGCTAAACCTCTTATTTACAAAGCTGACTGTAGCCATCTGATCACATTGGCTGAATTTCTTTCAAAAAAATCTTTTTACATATCATTAAAAAGTTAAGAACAAGATTAAAATCTAATTAATACATTAGGAAATCATCCAATACTAACTTAAACACTTTTACTATTTAACACAATTTTACTTGTTAAAATATTTCATCTCGACTCTTGAGTCAAATTACTTTTATATCAAATACTCAGGAGATGGGACACAGATGGGGTGGGGCATGATACCCAGTCCCTTACATATTTTCACAAATGGAGTGGTTTCTCATGATTCACTTACTCACCACTCTGGTCTACCCACTAATTCTGACAATACAGCCATCTCATTTCATCAATGAGAAGTTCCAGGAGGTTTGTATATCAGCTTGTGTTGTCTTAAGTTCAGTTATGAACCTGCCTCACATTTGATACTAAGGTCTGTCCTTTCTTTTTTTCTTAAAAGATTTTGTTTATTTATTTTTAGAGAGAGGGGGAGAAACATGGGCCCACAACCCAGGCATGTGCCCCGACTGGGCATTGAACCTGTAACCTTTTGGTTTGCAGTCTGGTGCTCAGTCCACTGAGCCACACCAGTCAGGGCAAGGTCTGTCCTTTCCTGAGGAGAGTCTCAGTTTTGGAAATTACTGTTTTCAAAACTTGAGCCCACTGTGGCTGAAACAGTGTTTGTTTAGGAAACCAACAGGAATGCATGTTAGGAGATCGGAAAGCTCTATATTTATCCTACGTGGAAGTTGACAAAACCCAGCAAACGTAAGAAAGTTTTTGAGAACTTTGGACTCAGGGCTACTGGTTCAGTGTATGAGACATGTCTGTTCCCTCCTCCCTGCCTTGGTTTGTCTATATCCTACCTAACATAATGACCTTTTAATTTTTTTTAGAAAAGCATAATAGCACAGCTGTGTGGCTAAAAGTCAAAATACTTGTAATTGCATTACTCAGGTTCAGGAAGATGTTAAACACTCTTGGCTGGTGTTTTAGTATTTAAAAAATACTACATATAGCTCTGGCCAGTGTGGTTCTGTTGGTTGGGCATAACCCCACACAGCTAAAGGTCACCAATTCAGTTCCCCATCAGGGCACATTGCAGGTTCGGTCCCGGTTGGCACTCAACAAGAGACAACTGACTGATGTTTCTCTCACATCAATGTTTCTGTCCCTCTCCTCCCCCACCCCAACATAGGTAAATAAAGTAGTTTTTAAAATACTGCATATAATAAATATTTTGAAATTATGTATACATTACAGAAGGCATCCTTAAACAGAAACATACATAAAACAGAGCTGTGTTTTCATTAGTTGATAAAAATGATCTGACCAGAGATTCACAGGAACTGTGTGTTTTCCCTACTAACAGCAGATCAGCGTTTATTACCTTAGTGTTGGCTGTGTCTTCAACACAACAGCCACAACCAGTAGGAATGTAGTGTGTGTACACCCCTTGCTTTGGTCTCACTTCAATCCTGACTATCAACAGTCGGTTTCCCTTTACTTGAGCATCTTCTGCTTCTGTGACATGCTTGCACTGCTGCCTCTCAGACTGCACCTGTATCAGTGCTTCTCAGATTTCAATGTACCTAAGGAATCCCTTGCTGATTTTGCTGAAGTGCAATTATGATTCAGTAAGTCTGAGGTGAGGTCCCAGGATACAGATTTCTACCAGCTCCAAGGGGGTAACTCTGCTGTTTATTCATAAAATACACCAAATAGCAAGGACTGTATCCTGCCTTTCTCTTTTTGCTTAAAATACTTGGAACAAAAATTTCACACAAACAGGTTTCTACAGTTGTAAGAATGGTTAGAAGCGGAATTGTGTTTCTCTTCAGGGACTCTGAGAAGTCACTAAGGAACTAGTAAAGTGTGAAGACTTTTAACAAAAAGATCATAAAGTGTCTCAACTAGTACAAACCTGTTGGGAAGATAGATAATAAGAAAAGACTATATATTGGCATAAACTTAATGTAGGTTTTTATTGAAAGCATACCACATACAGTTAATACACTTTATAAATGATACAAACTTTAAGATATGGACTTTGCTCTCAGGAAACTTTAAAAGTAGAAAGAAAAGGGACCTGTGTAGCCACAACAAAGGATAAAAAGTATAAACTCGGCAAAGGGTGCTGCAAGGTGTGGTGAGAGTTCAAACACTGCTTCCACTTGTGAATCAGGGAACACCCCCTAAAGAAGTAACATCTTAAATGGGCTTGAGATTCATTAATTTTCCAATATGTAGAGGTTACTAGGATCTCATTTTATCCAGAGTTAACATATGAGTTTTAAAATGTCAGAACCAAGTCAGAAAACAAATCCTGCAAAATTACGACTAGTTTACAGTAATAACAGACCATTAAATAAACATAGGTAAACAACAAAAACTGTACAAAGGGAGTTGAAAGGACATGATCACCATGCCGAGTTTTTAGTATGTTTTGAGTCCCTGGGATGCTGGAATCTCATTCCAAAGAAAGAAGAGTGGGAGGAGGTTCGCAGTGTGTCCTAATAAGAACAGAGATAAACGTTACTGCGTGCGAGGTGGAGGTGAGAATTGAAGAGTAAAAGGAAAGGGACTGGGAAAGAAGAATTAAGGAGAGAAAAAGGAAAAAAATACAGGACAACAAGTAAGGAGGGGATAAAAGAAAAGGAAAGAAACTCACCAGCCCTTTTTAAGCCAAAATGCAAGACCTGTCAGAAGAAGCACCAGGGGGACCATCACTGCCAGGATGATCAAGCCCTCGGAGGTCGGACGGTCTGTGGGTTCAGGTGCACACAAGGGTGTCATTTCAAATCCACCCCTTGGTTACTGCATTTCCCTCACCTGCTTTTAAAATCTGAATGTTCGCCTCACTAATCTCCTTTCTTCCTGTTTCTTCTGTCATCCCTCTTCAGAGATTAATCTTTAATCTAACCCTGAACATCTTCCTACATCTACGGGTCTCTTATTTCCAACCCTTATTTATTGACTTATTTTCATTCTTTGGGTTTGGATCCATAAATTCCAGATTTTTATCTGGCCCTTTGGCTCTGCTTGTGGACCATCTACTCCTACTCCCAATGTGGACCCCAGTTTTTTCTTACCCAAGTAGAGGATGATGTCCTGGCCTTCTAGACTGCTGTGTGTCACCCGGCAAGACAGGCCAGATGTCTTGGTGGCTTCCACATCCAGGTAACTCTGAAGATACCATGTCCCATCAGCATTGGGCAAGATATCACTTTGTTGAGAGGCCTGTTGTGCCTGTTCACCTCGCATCCACATAACAGAAATTGGCTTTGGGTAGAAGCCAGAGACATGACAAACCAGCAACAGATGGTGAGGACCAGGACTGGGGCCAGTGGACAGCCAGGCCTCTGGTTTTACTGCAGAAGACAGGAAAGGCATTCAGATAAGACAGATTCAGATAAGACAGAACCTCCAACACAGAGTTGGAGGTTCATATCTTCACATCAGTTTAGACAGCACCTCTGTCCCACCCTGGGAACCCATCATGTATTCCCTCTTGACTCCTTATTCTAAATTTGAAGAGATGGTAGGAAGGTATAACTTTAGAATAGAAAATTCTTGGAGGAAGGATATGGGACTGACCTTTTCTCTGGAAATCTGCCTTCCCTGCATCAAGGAGACCCAAAAGGAAGCGTGAACAGGTGTTACTGAACCTCCACTTAATCACTTTGTTGAAGACAATGTACCGGTTGAGTACTTTGCACATCTTCTGAGCTCTAGTTCCACCCTTTAGATATGGCACCCATGAACTGTTCTGGAAGCTCAGGATCTCTGATCCTTGATAAGCAACTCGCCAGAAGTCTATCTTGATTTCTCCAGAGTGCAGCTCACAGCCTACTGTTCCTTGTATGTCAAAGGGGTCTAGAGAAGAGAGATTGTAAATTAGAGGAAAGAGGGAGTTAAAAAAGATGAAATAAGTGGACGCAAAAAAAGAAAGTAAATGAGAGAAGTGTGAGGGATTTGAGGTAATGAAGCAAAGTTTCATTTTCTCAGAAGTTTAGAAAAAACATAATTGATGGTACTTGAAGGTGAAAAAATGAGTGACTTTTTTACTTTGGAAATGGGAGTAAATTGTTGAAAGAAAGTGGCATAATTTTTTTTTTGGTGAGAGCAAGAGAATAAGAAGGAAATTAGTGTGAGAGAATTGTGTTTACACTAACTAGGGTGAATGAAGTGAATTAGGTTACAGAATGAATGTACAGATAGAGATTGCTAAGGAGATTGAGTGCTGGGGAGAAAATCATAATAAAAAACTCATTGAGACACACATACCCCACCCAGCATTGCTCCAGCTCATTTTAAGAATTGAACTTACACTCAAGCATCCATTCACTGGCATGGATGTGAAGTAAATGCAGAAATTCATGGTTGGTCCTTTCGATTAAGTCTTTTACTTCTGTCATCTCCTTCTTGCTGAAGTTGCCATTGGACCAAGGCCGCAGGGAAATAAAATCACTAGAGTTTCTCTTCCAGCTCTTAATCTGCAACTCACCCAACCAGGCAGAGATCCAAGTTTGGGTCCAGGAGTGGTTGTGTAAGGAAAAAGTACTGATGATTCTGAAGATTTGGTCCTGGAAGGCTATTGGGGGAAAAAAAAAGATAGGAGGAGGGGAAAAAAGGCATTGGGAAGGAAAGAGAAAGAAGAAAGAAAGATGACAGAGAGGGAAATCTCAGAATCTGGAGACAAGGGAAGCCATAGTTACCTCGGCAGACATTCAACTGCCCAGAGCCCCATGCTTTATATAAAGATTGGGTCAAAAGTAGACTTAATAGTTGTTAGAAGAAAAAACAATACAATAACTAATAAATAATAACACAAGAATAAACTGTTCCATATCCTCACAACTGTAAACCTACTTTTCTCCCCATTTTGCACAACCTTCAGAAAGCACAGCATCCCAAAGTGATGCTGAAGGGATACTCAGAATGGAACTGTGCTGACATTCTCCAGGTGTGTTCTGAGGACACCACACAGAGAAACACACATACTGACACACACCTTTTGCACCCAACTGTGCAGTTGCTGTAGTTCTTACCATCTTCACTGTCACCACCTCCGAGGAGAACTACTAGTAATGGAATTTGCAAAAACAGCATTAGTGCACAGATGTTACTTCTTTTTCTCACAAAAGTTTGTCTTTGACTTCTGTTTTAAAGAAACCTACCCCACGGTACTTCTGTCTGACTTCCTTCTTCTACCAACACACAAACCAGCACCATAACCCCGGCCCCGGAAAAAAAAAAAACAAAACCAACATGCTCCTTCCCAAAACCCTAGTCACCAATTCAGCTTCTCATTTCTTCTCCAGTTCTGACTCTCCTCTCGAGCTTTCAGCATCTTCCCCTTGGTACCAGCCTTCATTCTGTTCACCTTTCTCTAATTCCGCCTCTATGGAGTAAAGTCTTATGTGGTATTGAAAAGTCTTCTCATGCATACAATAAATGCATAAAATTAAATGGCTTTCCAATTCCCATCTAATGTTCTTATGTCCCTGCTCTTTTCTGTCACTCTCTCCTTCCCTTGCCAAATTTAAATAGTCTCCAAATATTCTTTCCTTCTGTCTCTGAGACACCCCACCTCATTCATTTCTCTGACATCTCATTGGTTGCTTTACTGATTTCCCGAAACTTCTGTGACTGCCTGTGTAACAGTGTAAACTATTACTCCATTATTCTTAGGGAAGATCCAGTAGCCATCACAGACATCACAGAGACTGTGAAACACATTAAGAAAAATCTCTATTTGACTTGTACTGATGTATATTCATTTTTAAATTTTATTTAGTTATTTTTCAAGTACAGTTTTTTTGTCTATTTCTCCCATCCCAGCCCCACCCCCACCCCCCACCTCCCTCCCCTAGTCCTCATCCCTGTGTCTTTCATATTTGTTCCTCAAAATCCCTCTCCTTTTTCCCCCTTAAATTCCCTTCCCTCTCTCCTCTGGTCACTGCCCACTTGTTCTCTATTTCAGTGTCTTTGTTTTTATTCTGCTTGCTTGTTTGTTTTGTTGTTCAGCTTCCTGTTAAAGGTGAGATCATACGGTATTTGTCTTTTAACCCCTGACCTATTTCACTCAGCATAATGCTTTCCAGTTCCATCCATGTTGTTGAAAAGGGTAGTAGCTCCTTCTTTCTCTCTGCTGCATAGAATTCCATTGTGTATATGTACCACAATTTTTTGATCCATTCATTTACTGACGGGCACCTAGGTTGCTTCCAGCTCTTGGCTATTGTAAATTGTGCTGCTATGAACATTGTGGTGCATAGGTTCTTTGAAATTGATGTTTTAGGATTCTTGGGATATAATCCTAGCAGTGGAATTGCTGGGTCAAAAGGCAGGTCAATTTTTATTTTTCTGAGAAAATTTCATACTGTTTTCCATAATGGTTGTACCAGTCTGCAATCCCACCAACAGTGAACTAAGGTCCCCTTTTACCCACACCCTCTCCAACATTTGTTGCTTGTTGCTTTATTTATGATAGCCATCCTGACCGGTGTAAAGTGGTATCTCATTGTGGTTTTAATTTGCATCTCTCTGATAGCTAACGATATTGAGCATCTCTTCATGTGTCTCTGGATATTCTGTATGTCCTCCTTGGAGAATTGTCTGTTCAAGTCCTTTTCCCATTTTTTAATTGGGTTAGATGTCTTCTTAGAGTGGAGTCATGTAAGTTCTTTGTATATTTTGGAGATTAAACCTTTGTCTGAGGTATCATTGGCAAATATGTTTTCCCATACAGTTGGTTGTCTTTTTAATTTAATACTGTTTTCTTTGGCCATGCAGAAGCTTTTTATTTTGATGAGATCCCATTTGTTTATTCTTTCCTTTATATTCCTTGCTCTAGGGGACATATTGGTAAAAATGTTGCTGCGTGGAATACCTGAGATTTTCTTGTCAATGTTCTCCTCTAGGACTTTAATGGTTTCAAGGCTTATATTTAGTCTTTTATCTACCTTGAATTTATTTTGGTGTATGGTGCAAGTTGGTGCTCAAGTTTCATTTTTTTGCACGTAGCTGTCCAGTTCTCCCAACACCATTTGTTGAAGAGGCTATCTTTACTCCATTTTATGTTACTGCCCCTTTGTCAAATATTAATTGACTGCAGAGGGTTGGGTTGATTTCTGGGCTCTCTGTTCTGTTCCATTGGTATAAGTGCCTTTTTTTATGCCAGTACCAGGCTGTTTTGATTACAGTGGCTTTGTAATACAGTTTGATATCAGGTATTGTGATCCCTCCTACTTTGTTCTTCTTTCTCAAAAGTGCAGCTGCTATTCAGGGTTGTTTATGGTTCCATATAATTTTTGAAGTGTTTGTTCTATGTCTGTGAAATATGCCATTGGCACTTTAATAGGTATTGCATTGAATCTGTATATTGATTTGGGTAGTATAGACATTTTGATGATGTTAATTCTTCCAATCCATGAACACGGTATATGTTATATTCATTGACCTGAGAGTCACTTGTTGCCTGCCTGGTTACACTAGTCTTGCAACCCTCATGAATACACAGTTATCTACAATGCACTCACTTTGTTCAAGGAGCTTTTATTCTACTTAAGAAGAAAACACAAAATCAAGAACTATAAATCTTGGTGTGCTGGGTTTTATTAAAAATATAGACTCTAGACAAAAACAAGCCTTCTTGAAACAATATTTTATAAAGTGGCAACTCTTAACTGTTGCCCCTTCACAATCTGGACTTGAGTTGTATGCTCGGGTTGTTATATCTGTCTAGCTCTGTTGTACTGGGTCCCCAACATTTAACAGAATGCCTGTTAAAGGTGCTCAGTGAATAATTTTGAATGATTGAATAATTTGATTCAGGAATCCAGTTATTTTTTAATCATTCAGATTTTAACATACTTTTCTTGAGACATCAGAAGTCATTATTTGTGCTTCTACTTAGTGACCTAGACATATTAAACAGTCTTGTTTAGGAGTAAAATATATATGACTAAGGATGAAATTTACACAAAGGCATATTCTATAAACCTCCTATCACTTATATTTTAAACCTGTAGAGGTCACAGTTAAATAAATTACAGTGTAGGTTGCATATATCCAAGAGATACATTCAGTACTAGTATGTGCTGAAATGTGAAAAAAAACTTTTAATTGCAAATGTGCATTTATTATATATATATATATATGTAAAAATATCTTTTTAAATTTTAGTTAAAATCTATAACTTATTATGCAAAGAAACATAAAAACATAAAGGATAAAAGTTGTTCTTTTTAAATATCAGAAACATTGATATTGCTAAAAGAAAACAACCAAAAATGTCTTTAATAGTAATCATAATCTTCAACAGTTGGCTTTGCAAAATGTTTGCAACACTCATCACAAAAAATATTATTATGCTCAAGTCATAAATACTTTTCAAAACACTAGCAAAAACATTTTGATAAGCAACTCATTTTCAGTGCATAGCACCTAACACATCTTTTTTTTCCTGGTTGTTAAGGGAACTATATCTATGTTGTCATTAGAATTTCCTTCAATTTATGTTTGAAATGGATGAAGTTTAAGGTATAAAGACTTATGCAAAGCTGTAGAGATTCCTTAACACCTGTTTATTTGTTCTGACACTGACTGTGTTATAAGATTTCTAATAAATATTTTGTGCCTTATTTTCACATTGCTGTTCAGCATATGAATAGCCTGAGCATTTATTTCTAAATTCAACACAATATTCAAATATTTCTACACAATATTCAAAATTGTGTTGACTATAACAATAGGCCATCATCCAGTGTTCCTGGTCACATTATATGCACCTATCATTCAGTTCACAGTGTCAACTACTGACTCAGTTTATTTGTAATATTCTATTTTTAAAGGATATTTTCTGTTGACTTCCGCCATGATGGAGGTGTAGGTGGACATACTGTCCCTTCTCGCACAACCAAGTTTAAAAACAACAAAGTTTTAGCAACAAAAATGCAGCCAAACCACAAAAAATTGAACTATATGGAAGTCTGACGATAATGAACTCTTCAGCCAAACCAGTAAGAGGGACAGAGCCAGTAGCAGAGAAGAGTGGGGCAGGAAAGATCCACCAAACCAACCCAGGAGTGCAACCCAGGTGCACCAGCAGCTGTAAGCAAATCCCCGGTGTGGAGTAGCAGTGGGTGGACCCACTGAGGGCCAACTGTGGTCACACATTTGAGAGCAGATAAACCTGTGAAGGAGCGAGCAGTGTGATGGACCTTGCAGGCCCCAGTGGCAGGAAGAAGCAGAGAGGACCAGTATTGTCCCTGTCTGACCCTGCCCCCACATACAGCATCACAAACCAGCAACCTGGGTGGCTCCGCCCTGGTGAACAACTAAGGCTCTGCTCCTCAGATGAAACAGGCATGAACAGATCAAAACATGGCTCAAGAACAACTCAGAGCCCCAGAGCCAATAAATGTAAGTCATGAAGAAATAGTAAAACTTTCAGATACACAGTTCAAAACACTGGTGATCAGGATGCTCACAGAACTGGTTGATTTTAGTCACAAATTAGAGGAACATATGAAGGCTAAACTAAGTGAAATGAAGCAAAATGCACAGGAAACCAATAGTAATGGAAAGGAAACTGGGACTCAAATCAATGGAGTGGACCAGAAGGAGGAAAAAAATGACCAAACAGAAAAGGATGAAGAAACAAGAATTCAAAAAAATGAGAGGCTTAGGAACCTTCAGGACATCTTTAAACTCTCCAGCATCCGAATTATAGGGATACTAGAAGGGGGAAAGGAACAGCCACCAGTGGAAAACTTATTTGAACAAATAATAAAGGAGAATTTCCCCAATCTGGCAAAGGAAATAGACTTCCAGGAAATCCAGGAAGCTCAGAGAGTCCCAAAGAAGTTGGACCCAAGAAGGAACATACCAAGGCACATCATCATTACATTGCCAAAGATTAAAATGAAGGAGAGAATCCTAGAAGCAGCAAGAGATAAGGGGACAGTCACCTACAAAGGAGTTCCCATCAGATTGTCAGCAGATTTCTCAAAAGAGACCTTGCATGCAAGAAGGAGCTGGAAAGAGGTATTCCAAGTCATGAAATCCAAAGACCTACAACCCAGATTGCTCTATCCAGCAAAGCTTTCATT